TAGAAAATACTGCATTTTGTAATTCACATACTAATAATTCAATTTAAAATCATGCTAAAAAAATATTAAACTCATATATTTTTTTTGATTTATAATGTTTAATGACAATATATTTCTGAAATTGGAGAAACATGCAGGCACTTTCATTTTTGATCTTTCCCTAAATTAAGTTGACAAATCCAACACTTTCATCTTGTGTAATGAAATTACAATGTACACAACTTACTGTAATAATTTGAATGACATGTAACCATTTTGAAGGAATACAAAAATCCTAATAAATCTTCGTGTAATCGTGTTTACATTTTTTGTGATATCAATAATGAAATGATCATATGTGCATTCCTTTTCCTAATAATTTGTTACTTATTCATATTCTTAGTGTTTGATTACAATTTTTCTATTGAATATGATCTTTTTAAAATAAAAGTACAATTTTTGATAATTATTTTTAATCTGAAAGTAACCCAAAACATTCATTTTATATAAATCCTGTGTAAGTACAAAAACGTCAAGAATAGTAGAATCAGTAAATAAGAAGAAGTTACTCACCCCCATAAAAATATCTCTCATTAGTTAGGGTCGAAAAGTAATATTATTTTAATCACTTTTTGTAATCATTTTGGATATTTTCTTCAGCATATCAAAGATTGAACACATTGTGACAAAGACTTCAAAAACATAGTTACAAATGTAGGGTGGAAATTGACTAAAAAGTAGAGTTCATTTGCCTATATTTCTTTTTAAAATGTGGACTTATCTTTTTTTTTTGTCTATTGAATAAAAAAAAAAGAAATTATTCTAGAGAAATATTGCTTAATATTATAAACGACGATATCTGAAGATCTATTTTTGTGATTTTTCATATTCTCTTCTTGACAAGTACCCCCTAAAAATATCTGATGACCCAGCAAGCATACAAGTAAAAGTTCTACTTGCGGCGGTATTGCGTCATAGAACCAAAATTATATGTACAACAGACACATTCGTTTTATTTCTCAAGCGATCTAAGGCAGGCTGCATGTGTGCCCTTATGCCTGTTGCTCAAGACAAAACTTTGTCCATTGTATAAACCAATACTGTGTTTAAGGAATAACCAAAATGTAGACTTTGGATATCATTTTAGAGTGCTTTAAGAAATAATTCTCTGAAAAATCAAAGCGAACTATAACTTATTCAATTGTTATATCGTGTGTATACATAAAATCACACAGCCGATGTGATTGGTCGGCAGGGGATACTCACTTCTCCATTGCACTTGATCCCACCTCTGATGTTAAGGCTGTTTAAATTTGCTCTACATGCTCTTATTTTGCATAGTTTTAAGGACTTGAATACTGTTTGTTATTGTCGCATACTTTGTTTCTTTTTAACATACGTGCAAATTTGAAGAAATAAGATATTCTGTGCACAAATAGGGTTTAGTGATTTTTATGCGCTTTGATCGAAAGATTGGGGTGCATATTTTTTGACCAGATTGTATATTTATCTGTATGTTTTCATTTGTCATCCTCGCCAAACCTTTTTAATGAAAGATAAAAATATTTGGTATGCCTATTCCTCTGATTAACTCTTCCAAAAGATGAACTTGTGACCTTGATTGTAACCTTTATTCTAAAAATAGTTTTTTTTCGATTTTGTTTGAGATGAGTGCATGGGGTTTTCATTAACACATGTTGTTATGTCTGTAAGGTATCAAAAAGATTTTGAAAGCCATATACGAGAACACTCGAGTACGAAACTATGATTTACCAGAATACAATTTTGTTCTTGTGGTTGAGGCAATAGACATACTTCATTCGAATTCATTTTTTGGTTTAGGAAACTACTTTGATACAGAAGAAGGGATCAATCTTTTAAGTTTCCAAGACATTAAGTAATTATTGAAAAATATATATATTTAAGAATTTCAACTTATTGAACGTTTCCATGGCAACCGTATGAATGTAGAACATTTCAAAAGTTTGACCGCACACCTCGAGTTTCTATTCCTAATTTCTGTGAAGTTTCATGAAAATTATCCGAGTCAAATCTGAATTTATTTTTTTTCCGTTTCGCTCCACCTAAAATACTGTATATGTATCACTTTTACGGAAGCCCAATAGTGCAAACCAAAAATAAATAAAGAAAAACGAAATAAATATCTAAAGAGAAACGAAATATATATATAAAAAAAAGAAATGATTTAATAAACGGAAACAAAATTATTTAAAAAAAAAAAGGGAAAACGAAATTAATATATAAAGATAAACGGACTTATGAAATATAGGGAAACGAAATCATTAAATAAATCATTTCTTTTTTTCTTTATTTAATAATAGAATTTTGTCTATCTTTATATATTAATTTCGTTTTTCTTTATATATTAATTTCGTTTCTCTCTATTAATAATTTCGTTTTTCTTTATTTAATAATTTCGTTTTCTACTTTTGATAGTTTTGTTTTTTTTTAAGTATTAATTCTGTTTTTCTTTATATATTAATTTCGTTTTTCAGGTAGAAAACTGAAACTCAAATACGGAATTTATATTTGTGAATGGTAATGGCCTGCAGGTGTCGTAACAGTAAATCATGGCTGACGCAAAATAAATGAATCTTCATTTCCGATTCGGGCATTTTTATACGAGACTGGAGCCGATTTTTTTTTTATGAGATGAAAAACAACATGGAAACTTCCTGTATTGACCACATTTATTAAAATTTAGGGCCTGCTGATTTTTCTATATACTGTCAAGTGTGGGGAGTGATTAGGCCCTGGACTGCATTTTCAAACACCTGCTAGACCTTGACCGAAACAAACTTGCGTGCCTTGCAGGATGGCTATGTATTTTTTGGTACTAAAATCATTACAAGGAATGGTTTTACAAGATCTGAAAAGGGAACTTCTGAGAAGTTTGTTTTGAATTAATTACACCTACTCAAACTTGCGTATTTTTGGTAAGAATATATAGCAGGATGTAATATTGCTGTGCAACCTGAATCCATGAATCATTCCATGAATCATAAAGCGCACGTGCTACATGTATAAAGCATCACCAGGTAACTCTTTACGCCTTATATGGACATTACAAATGTGTAGTGGAAATGAAAAATTAAAAGATCATATAAATATCAAATTAACAAACGTAGAAAAAATATGTAAACACGGCCGAAAATTCCCATGTACGTCACCAATTCATAAACTATTCAATTTTGTTTAATATATATGTTGTGTAATATCCCCACATCATTGTTGGAGTCTGTAAGCCTGGAATTAACAAGGATGGTTGTTTCTGTATGCATAGAAATAATGATATTCCAATAAAGCTCATGAATTGCGAGAAGGTCAAGACCTTAAGTATCGTAATACTGAATTCCCTCGAACTTAACATAGCGTCCTATCTCTGTATTATAAATCATAGGTTGTTGAAGATATAAAGGGAAAATTATTTAATTATTTTGTGGGATTGTTTTGTGCAAGTGTGTGCATTGTTTGTTCACAAATATAACGGATTTATAAATACAGATTGAGAGTTTGTCATTTAGAATATATGAATCAAGTACTATAGTAGTCATGTAGTACCACTGACACGAATAGTACAGATTGAGAGTTTGACATTCATTAATTAAGACCAAGAAATCAAAAGTGTTTTGCTTTATTTCTAATATAGTATGCAATCATTAAAATCTACTTATTGTAACCACTTTGACATGTTTTAAGTTTTGCACTTGTTCTCTTTAAACATTTTTTTACAATGTCAAACAAACCCATAAAGTCCGATCGGTTACGTATTATTTTACGGTATTTTCTTATGCCTGTACTGTAAAGTCATGTCATGGGGATTTCCTAAATGTTAAAAAACAACAGTACATGTTAACAACGGAATCTTAACCTTCATGTTTATCTTAAATATTTGTTCAATTTATTAGGATAATCTCTTTAATGTTTCATGTCCAAAGTCATTATTTGCGTGTCCAGATTCATTATTTGCTGATCATTAGACCTTTCGAGCAGAGGGTTAAAGAAAGCTAATGTTAACAAATTGTTAACGTCAACATTTCACCGAATTAATTATTGGCCAAATTACGAGACTGACCTAAGTTCATATTCATCGTGTTATTGTAAGATAAAAACATAAATCTAACCATATTACTATAAGATACCAAAAGGATAAAATTCCCCCCATTCAATTATTGTAATGGTTATGTATTCGATTTGGGAGTCGGTGAGTGCAAAGGCAAACATCACACTTGTTTATTGTCGAAACAAAATCAAGTCTAACAGACGCGTGCACTAATGATTTATGGGTTCAGGTCCTTACCATGCACATTTCTAAATTCCGTATTTTAGTTTCAGTTTTCAACTTAAAAAACAAAATTAATATATAAAGAAAAACGAAATTATTAAAAGTAGAAAAGGAAATTATTAAATAAAGGAAAACAAAATGATTTATTTAATAATTTCTTTTTTCTTTATATATTAATTTCGTTTTTCTTTATATATTAAAGAGGCTGGGTGGTCGTGGCCATTTTTAGACTACTTTGATCTCCTCTAGAAGAAGAGCTCCATACAAAGATATAATAAAATGATCAAATTTTAAAATCAAAATTTATGAAATTTTTCTATGCCAAATGATAGTTGACAGCTTCAGATACCATATCCCAAAATTTAAGTTATATCTTGTGGTTAATAAGAAAATAATTTGTTGACCACCTAGCCTACTTAATTTCGATTTTCTTTATTTAATAATTGCGTTTCTCTTTATTTAATAATTTCGTTTTTCTTTATATATTAATTTCGTTTTTCTTTATTTAATTATTTCGTTTTCCTTTATTTAATAATTTCGTTTTTTCTTTATTTATTTTTAGTTTGCGCTATTGGGTTTCCGTTCACTTCTGACCGATTGTAGAATGATTGAGTGCTTTGATGTTAGTTTAAGGGAATGGATGCAAGAGATATCCCTCTATGAATAGATAGGAAACACATGTTTAACAAAGATGTGCATTTTACATTATCTATACCTCCATAAGTCCATCCAGAGAAGACACTTCCATCTTGATCACACACTTCCTTATCCACCTTCTGGTTAAGACGTTTAGAGGCGTCCACCACCACGACATAGAAAGCTCTTCTGGTCAGGTAAATCTGGTGACAGGCGTAGTACGCACACTGGCCCCCAAAGTCAAACAAAGTCAGAGTCTTCGGTTCAATATCTGTTGCCTTCTTTTCATTATTTCTGTTATCCATATAGCTTGTTCTTACTGAAAGCGTACTCAAATGTCTTATAAATAGTTGTCAAGTATCACCTTTTATTTTAAACATATTAGCTTTCAAAAATAATCAGCAGTTAAAGTTCCTTTAAAATATCAACAAGTGGGAATCAATCAGTATTGTTAAAAAGCATACTAGAACTAGTAATGTAATGTAATGTAAAGCATATAAACAATAATGCCAACAGTAAATCAAAATGGTTTTTCTCTAAACCTAGAACAGTCGCCTTTGAAGTTTATCGTAAAATTTAAATTTTAGGGAGGTCTTTTTTTCACAACCAAATTTTGAAAATTAAATGTTTTATTTAAGAAATCAAAGTTTTTCTTTTCATTTCTACATATATATATATGCATGCTTATATCAGTTCACCCTTTGCGCATGATCATAGTAAATATCGATGGATTCTTTACTTACCGTTGGACCTCATTTTTTTTTATGTTTTTTTCTCGTGTTTCATATTAATAAGAATAAATAAAAGGGGTCTTATTTTTTCCATATATTTTTCAATGACAAAAAGCTTTATAACATTTTAATAATCATCAGCCTTAACATCGTACCTTTCAGAGACTTTGTTTCTTCATATAATTCAAATATTTCCTCATGCACCTCCAACCCCTCAGTAGATTTTACTTTCTCAATCTCTTCGTCACTACAACCCTGCAGACGTTTAAGTAGCGTGGTTTTTCCTGCCCCAGCACATCCTACAATCATCCCCCGGGCGTGGTGGACTGTCTGTGTTCCTCTCTTAGCGTACTCCACATACCGCTCTCTGGCCTCCTGGTCCCATTTTAGTACTTCTCTAGGGACGCCTACTATTTAACAAAATACTACCAAAGGTTACATTTATCGTGAAACTAGTACATGTATTAATATTCATTGTTAGCTCATCTGAGTTTTTCTGACCAAATTTTTCCGTTGTTTGTCGTTGTCGTTCGGCATAGTATTCGTTTCCGTATTTGATTACATTTTTATCATCTTCTTCAGAACTTCTGGGCAAACTTCTGGGCCAATATCAAGCATAGTTATGATTGGTTTCAGTTATATGGAAGAATCTTCGTGTACTGGTAGTGTGGATTCATGTTTATAGGAAAGATCTTTAAAAATCAAAATTCTTCTTCTCAAAAACCAGTAGGTCAGAAAAGCTGTAACTTATGTTGAAGCATACTGGTGTATTGAAAATTCTAAAATTTTCAAGTCGTGATTCCCTGGGGGAAGGGATTAGCCACAATAGGTATTACAATGGGAGAGTTCATGTGAAGGACAACATTACATGTAACAGGTCCAAATTTACTCAGATGAGCGTTGTTGTCCATGAGTCTCTTGTGGAATATTTGTTTTAGGTGTATAATGTATTTGAAACTTAGATTATATACATATTAAAATAGTGACATGTATAAATACAACCGTGGTTACTTTGGTAGCAAGTCAGAGTGACAATCTGGAGGACGGGAGTTTGGTCACTGGTGTGGGTGATGTCAATACTAGTATTTCGTTAGAAATCAAGCCGTGCATTATTTCGGTTTTAAAAGTAAATTCTGTGTAGTCCGAAAAAAGTTGGGCATATTAATCATTTAGAGGCAAACAGACAAGAAGCATAATAATAAACTACAGTTAACTATTTTATATTCCATGCACTAGGCGCCTGTGAAACCATAGGCAAGCAGGAAAACTTTTGGAAATAAGTATAAGGAAGCAGGGGAGTCAACAAATTAACCATAAATTTACCACCAGGTTTAACTTATTTTTTTGATACAGTATCTTATGCTGTCAGCTATCATTTGGCAAAGAAAACAATCATACATTTTTGTTTAAAAATTTGATTATTTTTTGTATATCTTGATATGGAGCTCTTCTTTTAAAGGAGATCAAAATAGTTTGAAAATGGCTGCCACACCCAGCTTAGTTAATTTTTTTTTTCAAGGGGATGGGAGACATGTTTCAGAACATCACTTAAAATCGACGAGAATTAAAACACAGGATTAACATATCAACCTTATTAAAAAGATCTGTCTTTTAAGTTTTGTGAAATGATGAAAAACTTTCAGTTACTTAATACTTACAACGTTGACGGATCCTGTCATGAATCCTCCAGTCAGACACGGTACAGTGTGTGATGATGTCCAGCTGTAGTTTGTCTATGAGGTCGTTCATCTTCTTCGGCTCGCCCGGTACATACAGACATCTCTCTCCCTCACTTCTTTCATAATTCCAAGACCGGCAGTATTCTGAGATCACGTCACGTGACGCCGTGGTCAGGAAAAACTCCAGATCACTGTCCTCAACCAGACACTCCGTAACAAAGGCGTACATGACGTCATGTCTGACGTCGTCTGATATAAAGCATATCACACTTTCACGAGTTTCTGTGATTCCATCAGGAAGTTCTACCACGCCCTCTACAGTCGTACCAGGGAAATATCTGTCTCTGATTTTGTGTCTTGTGCTGTTGTGGGATTTTACATTGAGATTCAGCTGATATTTCTCAATTAACAGTAAAGAATACAGTAGACACCTGACATCCGGTGGATTTATAAGATATTCACCTAAAACAAGGCAAAGAAAGGTCAAGAACATACAAGATATACATGTACTTGTCTATTTATAGAAGGTTTATTTGTTCCAATATAAACAATATAATTGAAATATTTTTAAACACTACATGATCAAGTATTTCTATTAAAATATATCATGCAGAAAAACCTATAATATTTATTGTATAATGATGCTCAAACTTTCTTTATTAGCTAGGGCAAGGAGGAGGCATATCTAGATGGAATACTTTTGAACATCACTTACAGTACCCGCATCGTTATTCTTTACAATTCTATCGTGTTCTATCGTGCGTGTATCCTATCGTATCGTGCGTGTATCCTATCGTATCGTGCGTGTATCCTATCGTATCCTATCGTATCGTGTTTTCCGTTTATCAGGTTTTGCGTTTTTTATCGTGTTTTCCGTTTATCGTGTTTTGCGTTTATCGTGTAGATCGTTTATCAGGTTCTATCGTGTATCGTGTTTTGCGTTTATCGTGTATATTCGGAAACCCTCGATTTTTATCTTTTCTATGTAAAGAAACTACTGAGCTATTCCGAGTTTCTTTTTCGTTTTGTTAATAAAAATAAGATTAATTCAACCGTAAAAGAGAAAATAAAGATTTCTCCCTTTCTTTTTCATCAATATAAGAAATATTAAAGCGTAGAAGGAAAAAAATAATTAATCGCGTATTTCATGAATGAATAAATTGATTTATTAATAAATAATTAATTAAATAAATAAAATAATTATTAAATAAATAAAATAATTATATCATGGTAAAGCAGAGAGTAACTGTCAAAATTTAAACAGTAACTCTATTTTTCGGAAATGAAATTATAAGTAGATCGATCAACTGGTCTATTTCTTTCAAAAATAATTTATCGAATTATATGATTTATTTTGTCAAAATTAAATACTACTAATATGATTTTCTCAAATGAATCGGAGTTACCGGAGAAAGATTTTTGGTAAGTTATGATGTTTGCGTAGACAAAAAGCAAATAAATAAATAATAAGCAGCATATTGAAATGTATCTTTTTATCATGCAATATTCTGTTTTCCCTTGTTTATCGCCTGATTACGTTAGAAATATGTTTACGCGTCTGACCTGCATGTATGCACAATTATTTAAAGTCTTGATGTTACAAATATAATATAACATAAGACAATGATCCAGATGATTTTAACAACGATTTTGGCCGTATACGTTCAAATTTTAAATTTATTTCTTTAAAGCTAGTTATAAATTCCTCCACATATGTCTTAATTAATAAAAGAAATCAAAATCATAAAATATAATCAATGAAAATATTCTACCCAATTTATCACACCATGGCTGTTACTATAAAATAGAAGATTTTCATTAATTTTATCTGGCATTAGATAACATAAAAATAATACATGTACAGGGGGAAACATGAAGTTTTTTAACAGCTTACCTTTTCGGCGTGGAAATAAACTCAAAATATAATCCATCGGGATGGCAAAAATCAAAATAAATCGAAGACCTTTCCTTACAAGAAAACTGACACGTATGTGTAGCTCTTTAATTAGCACACTGTCTTCCTGTGCGGTCAACCACCCCCTCCCCCTTCTCCCCTAACTGACACCTCGGCCCGTGTGTGTGTGATCACCGTCAACATACCTGTACTGATTTCTCACCTGGGGTCAATTAGTAACCTCGAATACTACCTGGTTCTAATGAAACGCATCTACTTATTTTTGAGATTTTGTTCCTAACTTGTTTGAACAATTTTATCAAAGATTTAATTCAAAATACATTAAATAATTGTACGATTTATGGATTAAAAAATCATCTTGAATGTTAAATAAAAATTCAAATAAATCAATTTCATGAAATGAAGTCCCTAAACTCACTCCGTTGATTCTTTTTCATTTCGTACAATGTTTCCATTATGTTTATGTAAAAAAGTCTTTTAATAAACATAAAAAAATATACTGCACTTATGGTACGTGCACTTTCGGGTCATAGGGTTTTCTACGTAAAACAGACAAAATTTATTCTAGGAAACAATTTCATTGATCGTAGAAACGGATGAAATAGTTCATTCTAAACTATGAAAATTAGTTCGCAATATTTTTTAACGGTATCTTACTATAAAAATAAAACAAAAGGAGTCGTCTGATCCGCCGTGACCATGCAAGACTAATAAATACACCGAATCAATTTATTGTATTAATCGATTTTATTCCATACGTATGTAACTTTATTTAAGAACTCAATATCATATTTGGCTATTTGGTTAGATCTTGTTTATCTAAATTTAAATTGGTTGGGACTTTCAAAATACCGCCCTTCGAATATGCCTAATATGAGATTACCGGGTCAGTGTAAAATGATTTTTAAGGTTTAATAATTCATTTGCCGAATTAAACATATTTTTCGTTATTATTAGAAACAGTACACAAAGAGTTTAATAGCAATGATTTATAATTATTTAGTCGGAAAAGTCGCATTTCACTCTTTTAATAATTGTTAATTAATTTTTCTGTTTTGTATTGTAAAGAAGAAAGTATTTAACCATTCAATGTTCGTTAATTAATACGAGGTTTAAGTATCTGTAATGTAAAATGTTTACATGTACATAAGTCAGAGCTTAGCGTAAACGTACATGTGCAGTTGTAGCAGATCCATATTCTCATGACACAGTTTACATGTATTAATGCAGATCGCCATTATCTTAATAATTATTAAGATTTCTATTCAGAAAATTTAATTTTCTTGAAGTGTTTCGTTCTTGATAGATCTATCATGTTAAATTTATTAATTTTGTTAAAGCCGTTTTCTTTAAACCTTTCTTTCGGCCAGTCTTTTACTTGTATTATTTTCTAAGATATTAATATTTAATTGCAATTTTTGGATACATCGCAGATTGTAAGCTTTAGACTTTAAATACAAATATTTAATTTATTGCGTAAATTTCTTCCGTGAAATAACTTGGTACTTGTAGATAAATTTATTAGATAGAAAATTAAAATGTATATTTCTCATAAAAAATAAATCTGTTTATAGAGTTTCAAAATTCACACACTTGAGAAGAAATTTAAAAAAAATACAGTCTCCATTTCATAAAAATCCATTTAATCACTGTAATTGTTTCTTTTTATAATAATTAAATGTACTTTATAGTTTAGATTTGAAGCTCTGCGAATATTTAAATAAAAATATACTCTAATTTAAATAATCTTTAATCTTTAAATTTAATTGAAAATAATCTTTTCGTCTTGTCAAAAAACGTTCCGCATTTTGGAACAATCCTATCAGGTTTTGCGTTTATCCTATCGTGTAGATCGTTTATCGTGTCTATCGTGTTTTGCGTTTATCGTGTTTTGCGTGTATCGTGTTTTGCGTTTATCGTGTTTTGTGTTTATCCTATCGTGCGTGTATCCTGTCCTATCGTGCGTGTATCCTATCGTATCGTGCGTGTATCCTATCGTATCGTGCGTGTATCCTATCGTATCGTGTATCCTGTAAGGAATAACGATGCGGGTACTGTATTAATGAATAAGAAACACATAGAAACAACACGCATTTATTTTTTAATCGAGCGATCTTTGTTTCTTTGAGAGAGACTAATTACAAGGGAAAAAGGTTTTTCATTGAGATAATTAATGAGATAATTTTTCGTCCAGAACATGATTATTCTATAAAGTTTATAGATATATTTATATTTCTCCTTATAATGCCTTAAGTTAATGATTGTTTTTATATCTCATACATGTACATACATTTATTTCTTTTAAATCCTCTATTAATTTACCGATTCTCGTTCATTAACTGCTCAATAGACTGGGACTGTATACAAGGAAAATCTCTTTTTTTTTATTTTTGCCCGCGTTCACCCTTCCCTTATTTGGGCGAATTTAAAATTGGGCGAAAATCAATCAAATAATACCGTATACGATCTTTAATGAAACTATTTAAAACGGTGCAAAATTGTTTGCAACTGTGAAAAGGCGTACTAAATAAAACGGGGCGAAAATAACCGTGTGTACAGTAGTTATATCCCCCATCGCCGCTTAAAAAAGTTTGAGGGTGTGTAGTGATAGAGAAGTCTGCCTGTACGTCCGTCCGGTTTCTTGTACGTAACCGGATAAATGAAAGTGTCTATGTAAAGACTATGTATATTACAAGTTCAAAATCGAATAAAATATCATTATATCTAGTATCTACTTGCTTGGTTTTCTGTAAGGTTTGTTGTCGATGATGTAAATGTCCCAGTGTGGATGTAGACCTATACAGGATCTCACGATATCAGGTCTCCAGCCACTCCAGAGCCACGTCACGTGATCTACACTCTCTTGCGATCTTCTTCTTAAATGTACAGCCTCCCCTTTATTTCTCAGATTCATTAAAAATTGTGCTCGTTTATCACTGTCCTTAAGTATGTTTTCTGGGATATCCACTGCCAAAGAAAATGAATAATATATATAATCATACATAGAAATATTATCCCTAATAAGAACGAATTAAGAACTATTAAACAATACAATTATCAGTTTTAAAACAAATACTCACTGTTTATAACATAAATGTACCTGACATTGACCAATATCTCCCATAGAAAAATCCAATTAATACACTTTAATGTGACTTCAGTAAATAAGTTCAAGTCGCCCGCGTGGCGCAGTGGTTAGAGTGTCTGCTCTAGAGTTGCGAAGTAAGGAGACAATCCTTACGTCGCGGGTTCGAATCCCATTGTAGGACGTGGAGACCGGTCCTTCGGATGAGACCGTTTAAACCGAGGCCCCGTGTCGCAGTAGGTGCTGGTACGAAAAAGATCCCTCACTGCTCAATATCCCTGAGTGCCGAGCATAGGACAAAATTTGTAGCCCTCCACCGGCAAGTGGTGGCGTCCCCATATGAGTGAAATATTCTCAAGAAGGACGTTAAAAAACATACAATCAATCAATCAATTAATTAATTACCGTATAAGTAGAATTTTTAGCGAGGATTTAATTTTGCATTGTTAGCGAGGGCCCTGAGATCACTAAAATTAAATACCGCTAAAAATTAATTGCATTTTATTTGTAATAGCTTCTTTAGTAAGCATTTTAAAAATCGCTAAAATTGCCTCTCGCTAAAAATAAATTACCATTTTTAAGGAGAAATCGCTAAATTTGCGTCTCGCTAAAATTTCCACTTATACGGTATTTCAATTGATTAAGAATTCTAAAATAATCAAATTACTTAACATTGACTTACATATCTGGTGTATCCAATCATATATAGTCGTGTCATCTATAGTGACGTGAATCAGCATGTTCATCTGTAGACGGTGTATCAGTATGGGATCACAGCCATGACAACTTACACACTTCTCTCCTGGTTTTCTGTTGTATCCTCGTGATCTCAGGTACACACTGGCTGTGTCATAACTACTGTAAAAGAATGGTATATCACTGCGTCTTGATGCTATCCTATACATTGTCTCATCCTTTGTGTCCTCCGTGATATTGTCCTGATCTTCCCAAAGGTAATCACGTGACTTCAGTCTGTCCAGAGTCTGCTGTGCTTCCTCGCGTGTTACAAGATTCCATTTACCGTACACTCTCTGTCGTATGACACGAAGCAAGTCCAGCCACTCTGTGTCGCTGAAGTCAGGAGGACCGGAGTCAGAACACAGAAAACAGAATAACACGGACACTTCGTCATTAGTCAGTGTGGAGAACTTATCTAGAAATTTAACAGATTTTTTATTATAGTATTGTTTGTATAATAATAATATATTTATTTGTATGATAATAATATATTTACAATAATGATTTTCCTTTAATGACTATGAAGCACTACGTTCTATCATAATGCATACATAAAAAATCCGTTATATGCTAAGTAGAGAGAAGACTAAAAACAACGTTTGTGATCTGACCCAGGGACGGATACAGGATTTGTGGTTGGGGGGGGGCTGGATAACTTTTTTGAGGCAAGGGGTCTGGGGGCCGCCTTAAGGCCTGGGGGTCCAGGGGGCGAAGCCCCCGGAAGCTCCTGGGTTTTCGTGTATTTTAAAGTAAAACCAGACACAATAATAGTGCATATTTTTCAATTTTTTTTGTTAAAAGTGGCATATATTGAATAATAATTGTATTGAATGTTTCTCAATTCTCATTGTTTTGTTACACATGCCACTATAATAAACGATTTTCTTACTTATACTGACTAATAGTGGTATTGATTATAGTGATGTACCAAAGTACGACGTGTTTAATACTAGTAATATGATAATCATACTTTGGATGGTGGGGGCCCAGGGGACGCAGCCCCCGGAAGCTCCTGGATTTTTGAGTATTTTAAGAGTAAAACCAGGCAGAATAACAGTGGTTTTGTTAGCTTTGTACCAAAATGTGGCATTATAAATATTAGTTATATCATACTTTGAAAATTTTAGGGGGGGGGGGGGGGGCGTGCGCCCCCCACGCCCCCCCCCCCACCCTTAAATCCGCCAGTGGACTATCGATCAACTTCCATAAATCTGAATTTATATCGGGGAGTGAATGGGGAATGGGTTGCTAGATTTTTCTCTTTAAGTCTTTGTTCTTCAAATACACGACTTTGCCTACTACATGTATTTAGAGAGTAGAAAGGTGGGAGTGGGGAGTGAGGTTGGGGTAGACTTCCAAGCAAGGTCATTTCTTCGATTTGTGTTTTATAGATAAACTAGACTGCTATCGTAGGGAAAGTGAAGTCAATATTGGGATTTTTATACATGTTTATGACCTATATCGTTATAATGCAACTTAATGAAGTAAAAACGAAACTCTTCTTATCAATATCATAATAGCTTTTAATATTTCTGATAAGACTATATGAGAATCAAAATTATGAAGTTTCATGTAGCTATTACAAACAAATTGATTTTTTTTTTGGTAGATGAATACTCACCTGATATCTTGTCTTCCATACCCTGTAATCGCCTACACCGCCTACATTGTTTACAAGAAAAACGTATCAAAATAAATAAAGGGATATTGAAGTTCAAAATTAATTTTGACCTATCTTAAAGATTACCTTGCAAACGAGACAATATCGGTTTCTATAGAACCCCCCCCCCCTCCTACCCCACACACCCCCACCACCCAAAAATGAGATTATATAATAGGTTCCCCGCACTCCGAAGAAATGGACATTTAATGGACTTTTGCGACAAACGCTGACATTTAAACCCATGAACTTGTATCACGGAGGTACAGAATTGAGCTAAATATCTATATCGTAAGAGAGTTTCTTGTCTTCTTCACAGAAGACCTTATAGCGATTCTATTGTTTGTTTTTATTATTAAGGTCCTCCGTCTTCACGGAAGACCTGATAGTGATTCTAATGTTTCTTATTATTATTAAAGTCTTCCGTCTTCAAGGAAGACCTTATAGTTATTGAACTGTTTCTTATTAAGATCTTCCGTCTTCACGGAAGACCTTATAGTGATTCTATTGTTTCTTATTATTATTCTTCTTATTATTAAGGTCTTCTGTCTTCACGGAAGACCTCGATTCCATTGTTTCTTATTATTATTTTTCTGACCATCTAATTTTGTGCACGCGATTTCTCGAAGACTACTGGTGGATTTTCACGAAATTCTCAGAAACAATGTGTTGTGATCTGATGTTATTTTATCCGAGAGATTTTTTTGAAATTCGCTTCCGGTGCTTAGTTAAAGACCTTTTCCTGAATTTAAAATGACGTTTTGTCACGGTTAATCTAAGAACGGTAAAAGATATTAATGTAAAACTTTCAGGGATTATAGATCGTGATATTCACTATCCAGGACCCGACCTTTCGTTCGCCGTCACTACTTCCAGTTGTTTCCAGATGATAATTTAAAAAGTCGAATTTTCTAACTTTTTTTGTTTTTCAATATTTTTGAATTATTTTAATATGTTTAATAGAAACTCTTCTAATTAGGCTTAATATGTAATTTGTTTATAAATTGATAAATCCAAACTCTAGATATTAACATTTGAAAATTCGAAGCGTATCTAAAATGGCGTCTGTCTCTGCCAACTCCGACATTTAGTGCATAGGGGGTTATGGAATCAGCTGAGCGTTTGGTTGAACGAAACTAACATAAGGATAAATGAAATGTTAAAGAGTACTTTGATTGTCATGTCGTAGTTACGTTGCAATTCTGTTTCAACTAAAGTTTTAATATGAGGTCTTCTCAAATTGGTTTTATCTGGTTCTCAAAGTAGAAAAAAGACGAGACTACATGTACATATCAGATACTATATCCACAACCTTTTGTTTTGCATTATGGAACAACAGATCTTGAATCACGATTATTATACATGTAAGCAATAGTTTATCAAGAAACAATATATTCAGTGAGTATAAAACGCGGCCACTGTTTTCCATGCAAACTAAATAAGTAAACCATTTTTTTTTCAAAAGATCGTTTAATGAAGTTTATGTAAACATTTGTTTTCTAATAAATCTAATTCAAGTTATTGAACATAAATGGTATTTTAATTCTTGACCGTCTTTGGGTGAGGCACGTTTTTCAGTTTCAGTCTTTTAATGAACGTGTAACTAATTCGGAAATTGAAATATGAATCACAGCCATTCCACTGCTTTCGCGTTACTTTCGCATAAACGATATGTTTTATGTCTCGTACATTGTACGTGTTAAATAACTTTTAAATAATCTCGCAATTTAGGCTATAAGAACGTTCTTATTTTAATTTCATTGAAGCTATCTAGAACCTTTTTCATAGAACTTTCCAAAGAAAAGGCGTGAAGATTTATACGTGCCGTTTGGAGCGAAATTATGAATAGTGACCAGCCTTTCACAATTTCAAGACAGATATACTGTTGCAGAAATATTTACAAATAACTTTAGAAGAGTGGTCCCAATATAGTAAAGGTAAGCGCGTTGGAAATGCTGCTAACTCTGGTTCAATCACCCATCTGTACGAATTTTTCAAATTACTTTTTCAGCTCGATTTTACAGGTTTTTTTTTTCAGAATCGGACGGAAGACCTCTCGTTGCTCGCAACGAGATCGTTTGTAGTTATTATTCTTTTTTTTTTTGACAAATTTTTATGCAGAAGATTTCTCGAGAAGAAATCAGCGGTTTTCAATGAAAGTTTCACAAAATTGCGTCATTATATGAAGTCGTTATATCCGAAAAGAAATTTGGAAAATTCCCTTTTGGTGCCAAGTTATGAACAATTTCCTGATTTTAAAATGCGATTTTGTCGCGCACTTTTATCGATAATGGCTGAGGATATGAACTGGGGACTTATTGAAGGCGATAGATCATGACTTTGTGGTTTGGAGAATCGTCTTTTCGTGCGTCGTCAGCACTTCTGGTTTCTGCCGGAAACATATTTAAAAAATGCAATTTTTCAATTTTTTTGTTTTTCAATAATTTTCTTTGATGTTTTTAATTTTAATGTAGACTCATTTGCTAATGCGTAAAATGTAATTTTTTTATTAGAATCAAAAAAGGCAATCTCAAGATATTCGCATTTAAATATTTGAGGCGGTGTTTTCAATGACCAAATGGTTAGCGCGTTGGATTGTCACGCGGGAGACCCGGGATCGCTCCCCCGAATGTCCGATTTTTTTTTCTTTTGATCATTTTTTCTGTTCAGATTTTTCCTTTTTTATTTCAGAATCGGACGGAAGACCTCTCGTTGCCCGCAACGAGTATCGTTCTAGTTAAGGTCTTCCGTCTTCACGGAAGACCTTATAGTGATTCTACTGTTTCTTCTTCTTCTTCTTCTTATTATTATTATTATAGGTTTCGTCTTCACGGAAGACCTTATAGCGATTCTATTGTTTCTCCTTCTTATTATTATTTTTTTGACCATCTAATTTTGTGCACGCGATTTCTCGAAGACTACTTGGTGGATTTTCACAAACAATGGTTGTGATCTGAAGTTACTTTATCCGAGAGATTTTTTGAAAACTCGCTTCTGGTGCCAAGTTACAGACCTTTTCCTAAATTTAAAATGAAATTTTGTCCGCGGTTAATCTCAAGAACGGTTAAAGATTGTAATGTGAAACTTTCAGGGATTATAGATCGTGATATTCACCATCCAGGACGCGACCTTTCATTCGTCGTTAATACTTCCTGTTGTTTCCAGATGAAAATTTAAAAAGTCGAATTTCCTAACTTTTTTGTTTTTCAATATTTTTGAATTATTTCGATATGTTTAATAGAAACCCTTCTTATTAGCCTTTATATATAATTTGTTTATAAATTGATACATCCAAACTCTAGATATTAACATTTGAAAATTCGAAGCGTATCCAAAATGGCGTCTGTATCTGTCAACTCCGACAGTTAGCGCGTAGGGGGTTATGGAGTCAGCTAGTGTTTTGTTGAACGAAACTAATATAAGGATAATGAAATGTAAAAGAGTACTTTGATTGTCATGTCGTAGTTACGTTGCAATTCTGTTTTAACTAAAGTTTTAATGCGAGGCCTTCTCAAAGTAGTTTTATCTGGTTCTCAAAGTAGGAAAAGACGAGACTACATGTAAAAATGAAATATTATATCTTCAACCTTTTTTTTGCATCATGGAACAAATATTCTTGAATCACAATTAATATGCATGTAAGCATAATTTTATCAAGAAACAATATATTCAGTGAGTATAAAACGCGGCCACTGTTTTCCCATGCAAACTAAATAAGTAAACCATTTTTCAAAAGATCGTTTAATGAAGTTTATTTAAACATTTGTTTTCTAATAGATCTAATTCAAGTTTTTGAACATACCCGGTAAATGGTATCTTATTCTTGACCGTCGTTAGTTGAGGCACGTTTTTCAGTTTCAGTTTTTTTAATGAATGTGTAACTGATTGGGAAATTGAAATATGTAAAAAAAATCATAGCCATATTCCACTGCTTTCGTATTACTTGCGTATAAACGATATGTTTTATGTCTGGTACATTGAACGTATTTAATGACTTTTAGAACTCAATTTAATTTAAGCTATAAGAACGTTCTTATTTAATTTGATTGAAGCTATCACACCTTTTAAATAGAACTTTCCAAAGAAAAGGCGTGAAGATTTATACGTGCCGTTTTGGGCGAAATTATGAATTGTGACCAGCCTTTCACAATTTCAAGACAGATATACTGTTGCAGAAATATTTACAAATAAATTAAGAAAAAGTGGTCCCAATATAGTAAAGGTAAGCGCGTTGGAAATATTTGCTGGTAACCCTGGTTCAATCACCCATCTGTACGAATTTTTCAATTTACTTTTTCAGCTCGATTTTACTGGGTTTTTTTTCAGAATGGGAAAGGAAACCTTTCGTTGCTCGCAACGAGATCGTATCTAGTTATTATTATTTTTTTTTTTTTTTGACTTTCAAATTTTGTGCACGCGATATCTCAAAGAATACTGGATAAAATTACATGAAATTTTCAGGAAATGTCTTGTTCCTGAATTTATAAAATCCGAGAAAAAATTTTGGGAAAAACTCATTTCCGGTGCCAAGTTACGGACATTTTTCTGAAATTAACATGACATTTTGTCCACGATTAAACTCAAAAACGGTAAAAGATATCAATATGAAACTTTCAGGGATTATAGATCGTGATATTTACTATCCAGGACGCGACTTTTTGTTAGTTTTTGGTACTTCCTGTCGTTAGGTGAAGCGAATTGAAAAAATCGTATTTTCTATCTTTTGTGTTTTTCAATATTTTTTATTTATTTTTGGAATATAAATAGCGACCCTTCTATAGATTCTTACTATATAAGTTGTTTGAATATTGGTTAATCTGAACTCTAGATATTAGTATTTGAAAATCTGAAGCGGGTCCAAGATGGCGTCTGCCTCTGTCATCTCCGCCATTTCGCGAGTAGGGGTTTATGGAGGCAGCTGAGCGTTTGATTAAACCATTCTGACATAAGGATACGTGAACTGTAAAAAGCTACTTGGAC